CAACGGTTCAACTATTTAGTTTGAACGGATGACCCATTCTGATAATAAAAATTAAAAAATAAAAAAATGATAAAAAATCATTGAACGGGTCAACTATTCGAGTGCCTGGGTCAATGGGTCATTAACCGATTCAACAATTTTTGGATATGGACCGAGATTAGGATAAAATGGAATCGATTGCCTGGATGACCGATTAAAAAAATAAAAACAGCCAAAAACTATTGAACAGGTGGACGAGTCAATGGGTCGACTGCTTAGATCAATGAATCATTGACCGATTCAACGATTTTTGGCCAAAGACCAGGTCAACGGATCGACGAATTGATGATTCCATTCCAACCCCTGTGAAGCAGGCCCCTCCGCTAGTCTAACCATTATCCAAGTTAGAGCCCCAATGGAAAATGCTAAATTTTGCATTCATTTTTATTAATAAATAGAAATTTGGATTATATGAATCCCAATGATTCCATGGTTTCAACTTCATATACATCTATAGACTTTATCCGGAAGGAGTACAAATACAAATATATAAAATACAAAAACCTTGTATTTTGTATTATTTTTTATGTATTTATAATGCACATAATTTGTATTTGTACTCTTTTCAAACTAAGCCTTAATTGTTTTCGATGTAAAAACTCTATAGTCCGTGTTTTGACATATTTACTACAAATGTTTGTCTCTTATTTACTACAGAAAAAGAAGAGAAAAGAATGTATACAACTGGATTGACTAATGAATGCAAAAGCTACTTTGATATGATGGAGAATGAAACACAGAACCAATAAAAGTAACGCGTGAATTGAGATACTTTGTACAAAACCAGAAAGAGGGAGGCGGAACAAATGTTTTTCTTACTCTATGAATCCAAAATAAAAGAACAACAATCAATTATTAAGAATGAAAGATAGGAAGTATATAACACTGTCTCCAAAGATAGGAAGGAAGAAAAGAAAACTGTGTTTAGATTACTGTCTTGAAAGTATATAACATTATTTATAATTAATCACCTAGCCTTTTCTATCTTCTACATTATGCATCTCAACCAGTTCCCAATCGTTGTTTGATTGATTTCTCATCAATTTTATTTTATCTTTGGAGACAACTATGTGGCTTTCTTTAGAATTATATCTTTTATTTTTTTGTTAATTGTAAATCAGTTCAATTCACATGGGACATATGATTTCTCTCTTTTTTATTCATATTTTATTTTCTGTTTTCTATGAGGGTATTTTGCTTCAACTTGGTCAATTATTGGGGTAGAGAAACAATTAGAATGGAAGCATCGTCTTGGTCCTAGTCCTAAACAAATATATCATACACCAATTAAGCTCCATTAATGCAATATAAAGGAGTCCTATGGCATTCTCAATTGAGTCAATGACGTCCATGTCCAATTCAAGCATTATTTCTGAGTTATTTTGTACAAAAGCTACAATATTTATAACTAATAATTAATAGAAGATTATATAATTAACTATAATTATTATAATAGCATTAATACTATAGTATTATAAATCCTAATATTATATTATCATATATTATTTATTTATTTTTGAATTATAATTAAATTAAGGAAAATTTTCATATTAGTATCTTGTACTTCGGGTCTAGTGACACTTTGGTCCTCGAACTTTAAAACACAACAATTTAGTATTCGAATTTTCAATATGTGCCAATCTTAGTACATGTCATTAACCAACCTGTTAAATAGCTATTAAGTGTCATTTGACAAGACACAAATACAGTTCGAATGCCATCTAATTCTCTTTATTAATCACTCAAACGTTGACAAAAAATGAACAGTCTCAAATCCTTGTCTCTTCTATTCAAGAAAGTTGGGGTCACCAGAATACCCAATAAGATAGTAACCCCAACTTTCTTGAATAGAAGAGGCAAGGATTTGAGACTGTTCATTTTGTATCAACATATGGATGATTGATAAAGAAAATTAGATGAGACTCAAAAGGCATTTGTGTCTTTTAAACGTCACTTAACGGTTGGTTAGCGACAGGTATTGGATTGACACACTTTGAAAGTCCAAGTACTGAATTGCTGCGTTTTAAAGTTTGGGGACTAAAGTGGCACTAGGCCCAAAGTACATGGTACTAATCGAGAATTTTCTACTATTGCTATTAATTAATTATTCTTGAAACTTTATATTTATTACTTAATGTTAGATGAAATTCTTATTAATCTTAAATTTTAAATTTAATGTAATTATCTACATCAATTAAATTTAATAAAATGAATTTCACATCTTTTTTTAAAGGCATTTTTATTTGGAGTTTAAATCGAATTTCAAATTATACTTTTTAATATTTTATTAGTTTTTAATATAGGTTTTTAAATGAAATATTAAAAAAATTTATTAGTAACAAAAATAATTAATAATTATCATCATATTATAATTATTATATTACTTATTTATTTAACTAATTTTATGATAGTAATCATTTATATATACAAGTAAATAACTAATACTGCTATATTTAATAAATATTTATATATTATTTAATTACTACTTTTATGATTAAGTTTATTTTAGATAATTGGATTTACTCATAAAATAATTAAATACTACTATAACTTAGCTCTTTTTGTGTTAATTGTTATTAACTAAGTAATGGTTTAATTTGCTTAAGTTTTATATTTTAATTACAAGTTGCAACTAATGAATTAATATTAATTAATATAGAAATTAGAACTAAAATTATTATATTAATCTTAAACATTTAATTTTCTTTATATATTAACCAAAACATTAATTTTTATTAAAATTAGGGTAAATTGGTCCAGTCCGGTTTTGGGGTAAATCGGAACCAATCAGGTGACCGATTCCCGGTTTTTCCAGTTCAACCGTTTGGTTCGATCCAATTTTGAAAAACATTGATTTGAAAATTGGAATGAACTTCACCCCGGGCTCGGTATTGGCTTGATGAGTAGTTATGGAGACCAGATCTGCTCCTAACACCTGGTGCCTCACACGGGAGATGTTCTCAATGCACGGTGGATGTGCAGATCCCGTCTCGTGGTTATGGGCCGGTGGTGTAGTGATGAACAATTTTTGTTGCATGCACTATACTTCCATACTTCCAGTACTAGTTTTACATGTGTGGTGTGTACGCATGGGTGTTTATAAATACGTGGATATCTATGATGTATCAAATGCTCAATGCAAGTGCAAGATGCCAAGATGGGTGAATCAGATCCGGATACAGCAGCCGGCAGGAATTCCTGTTTTAGTTTTTCTTCTTTTGCTGTTTGCTTTTTCTTTTTTTTTTTTTTATTTTTTTCTCTTTTTGGTTCATCTGGTTTAATTTTTGTACGCTTTGCCACTGTGTTTTCTTTTTCTATGATGTTTCAGTTCTTACTTTTGAGTTGTACATTATTGCGATGAATGTTGGAGATCTGAGGTCCCTGGACCCTGGTGAATGGTGATTGAGTTGAGTCCACAACTTCTTCACGGGCCGGATGTGAGAATTTCGATCCAAGTCCAATTCATCAACTCCCTACAGAGTACAGGCTACACATCCACATCCCAACATATGACTAATGACTCAATTCCAATTTCCAAGCTGGGATGGGAATAAAAAGTAAAAGAGACAACAGATTCTCCAGACCTGAGGAACGGATCAACCGTGAACTCTACTCCACATGCCACATGCACATGGGGGGCATGTGAACTTGGCTTTCTTAGGAAGCTACCTCTACTACCGCAATTGCGTAGGACCCATTCGTACTCATACATGTATGGGGGTGGTAGCTATATTTATGGCAATGCCACATCCTTTTTTCTTTTTCTTTAATTTTTTTTTCTCCGTGTTCATGTCGGTGGCTTTTTTTTTTTTTTTTTTTCTAATGAATTTTGTATATGGTCGTCGGTAGCTATATTTACACCTAATTTTTTTTACTTCTGTAGTGTAGGCTCCGTTTGGTTGTTTGTAAAAGGATGAAAAAACATTTTTACAATATTTAATTTGGTTATTGCCCATAAAATAGCCAAGCAGTGAATAACTATATATTTTCAGTACGTTATTGTTCAAAGTTCAAAGAGAGCCAGACGTCGGCCTTCATTCTCTGTTTTACAGTTATAAGCAAAATATTTGTTTTCTAAGGGTTCAAACTGGTTGCAATCCAGTGATCAAATTGGTTGATACAAGCACTAGCGAATTAGGGGTGTCAATTGGATTGGATTTGGTCCAATCCGATCCAGTCCGATGTGAATCTATTATAAATGGACCAGGTCCAATCTAATCCAATAAATGTTTTAGACCAATTTGGATCGGTCTAATTCATTGTCTGAAGCATCTAATCTGTTCAAATTCATTTTGATTTAAATTGATTTCAACCCAAAGCCAGTTCATTGATACATATATATTCTTATTTTATATCAATGGATCAGATATTAGCTTAATCCAACCCAATCCAATATAAATTTGTTAGGAATGGATCAGGTCCAATCCAATCTAATAAATATTTTGGATCAGATTAATCCAATCCAATATGTCTTGTTGGTCCGTCCAATCCGTCCAAATTGATTTTGGACTGGACGGGGTCCAATCCAAAACCCTTACTAGCGATTAGCGTTAGTGTTATGCAATTACTGAAGCAATCGCTACATGCATCGATCACTTAACCCTTGTCATCAGCACCTGTCTCGTCCTAATTGGAGACAGCGTGTTTCCCGAATTGCTGCATCCTCCAGACAATTTTATTATGTGCAAAGGGAGTAGTGATTGAGTAGACTAGCTTATTCCATAATCAGCTAAGGCAAACAAAATAAAGAAATTCCCCACAACCGATATACAAATTAAAATTTTCACATTTTTTAATACATATCTGGTTTTGATTTTGAGATCCGAAAATATTATAAATCAGAGTCATACAACTAAAAATTTGTTAAAATGAATAAATTCGATGTAGCTACACTAAAAATAACACATGCAACGACCTAATCGATCCCATCCCCTTCTTCAATCTGTGATAATATAATCATCTCTGTCCAACTCCGCATCGTTATTCCCACACGTTAAAAAAAATTAAACAAATATATTTGAATAATCTATTTATAAAATCTACTTACAGCCAATAAATTTCCATTCAACAAATAATGACAATATGAAACCCCAAAACAGAGGAGAGGGATGGGAAAAGAAAAACAAAAGATAACACAAAAATAAAAGAAGGAATTACTAGCCTTAAATCTTAACCTTAGGCGAGAGTCTGTTTGGTTTTAATTAACCTTGAAAACTCTTGCCGTCGTCGAAATTCTTGGAGTAACTATAGGAATCGTACCTATAGGTTTGAGGTAAACCAACATTGTCGTAACCGACAAGCCGTCTGAACTCGGACCTGACCTTGTAGAAGACATGTCTCCAGCTACCTTTGCTGTGGCACCCAAGAATTGCCGTTTCTTCTTCGTTCATCTCCATATCTTTAGCAAAAACAGGCTTTCTTGACAGTATCCAACCCCATCCCCAATCCCACCATTTCCGTATAGAATTGCCGGCCGATTCTCCGATGGCTGACATGGATTTCGATCGAGGAAAGGTCCATGAAGTGGCAGGAGTGGATATCGGCGGAATTCTGAGTGAGATAGACGAAAGTCTTCGACGTAAGCCATGTTCATTAGTGCCTGCTGCTTGAGAGACTGGGAGAGATTGGTTGGTGTGTAAGCAAGGGAAGAAGCTTCGCTTCTTCTGAATGTTGTCGAAGATGGAGCTCATGCCTAGAGCTAGCTATCTAGCTATTGAAGATAGAACACAGACGGAGGAAGAGAAAGAGGAAGAAGAGAGAAGAGATTGGGTTATTGAAATCAGTGTTATAATTAAACCCAAGACTAGAGAGAAGGAGAAAAAAAAAAAAAAAGGGGAGGGAGGTGAGTGGTGAGATGTTGTGCTCACAGCTCTACTACAGGCTGTTTTATTCGTTTTTGTGGTCGATGGGACCATGCTGGATTTACATTTGGGCCAATTTTATTTTTATTTTGTTTTTTATATAAAATTAATTATTTAAACAAATGATGGATTAAAAGGTGGAGAGTTGTATTCCGTCCCTAACAAATTAGCTAGCTAGTCATGAGATGTGAGAATTTCTCAACACGTTGCCAATCAGGAAATGAAATGTCCCGTGAAATGTACGATAACCTCGCTTTCTCTGCACTGTGAAGTGCAGTATAATTTTTCTCTCTTTCCTTGGGTTTCATTCTTTTTTTTTTTGGTGGTGGGGGTAAATTATAAAGACGCCGTCATGCTGTGGCATCCATGGCATTTACCCCAGTAACTTTTCACTTTTGCACTTTTGCAGTAAATACCCAGTAAGATGAATGAATTTATTAAATTAAGATATTTTTTTACTGTTCAATCCATCCTCAGAATTTCTAATTCCACCGCACAGGAGGGGTAGTGGGGTATAACTGTAACATGCATGTAAGAATAATTTAGAAAAAACAAGAGAAGACAAAATAATGGGAGAAGCATTTAAATATATTCCATAGCATATACAGACATGGCTGGCTACCAACCGAAGGCTGGCTCAATTGATCATTGATGTGTTAGCGCTGGTTTATTTCAAACAAAACAGGGAATCAAAACCCAAAACCCGCAACCAGCACTTTAAAACATAAAAAAGAAAATAGACATGGGTGGGTCTGGGGTGATGCAACATGGAAGAGGTCCGTCTCTCCCACGGAAAAAGTACAGACAGAGACAGGGTGGTGACGATTGGATCCCATTAAGGGTGTTTAGGAGCTGCCACATATGTTAAAACCTGACGTATATTGTAGTTAAAATTAACATTGCAAGGATGATATGGATACGCATTATACTAAATTCATCCCGGCTCAGCCTGTAGTAAGTAATAAAATGGCGTTGCCCGGACCCCGGATTGAGAAAAATAGAAAATTTATTCATCTTTCGCCATGATTCCATGAATCACGGTGACGACTGACTCAGCGCCTGTATGAGGTATGAGTTAGCCATCGCTTCCTTGTCTTGTCTTGTGAGCTGTGGACTACGGTGGTCCACAATCAATTGCACAAATAGCTCTGTCGGTTCAGTCGTCCCCATCCCTTCTCCATGTTACGTCTCTCTCTCTCTGACTGCCGACAGTATGGTAATTTTTCCAGTAGAGATTCTCTACTTGTGGTATTTGGTTAATTCATGGAAAATTCTGCCGTCTGGTTCTCCATATAATTAATCTTGATTTGACTCTCCGAATAATTAAACACCGTTGAATTCAAAGAAAAAAAAATGATAATTGATCTTTAGGTAAAACTTATTGTTGTAGCAAACTAGCAATTAGCAGAGCAAAACCAGTCACTAGAATCTCAACGACACAGTCTTACTTCAACTGTCTGAGTATCAAATTAAATGCACATTAAAATTGCCACTACCATATATACCAACCAGGGGAACAAAAAGAAGAAATTCATGATCAGTTTTTAAAGAGGTCGATCCGCTGAACTGATCGATTTATTATTGCATTGTCCCTTCATAAGTAACTTGTTAAGGAAGTTGGATTGATTACTCTTCTACTCTTCAATATTTTTGTTATTTAAACTACAACACACATCAATATATTAAGTTATTTGGTTCATGGTAATTCAGCTGTTATTAAACAGATAATGACTAAACAGGTTGAACCGAATGACTAGTTTGTTACTTTGTCTTCTAATGGATAAGAAAGAAATTGGGGAGTTGAGATGTGTTATCAAACGACATTACCACACGAGGATCCAAAGCAAAGATTCTGATCACCTGGGTTTCAAGTAACTTGATTTGGTCAAGCGTCATACCGATTTTCTTTTTTCTCTTTTCTTCCTCCATTAACGTTCTACCGTTCAAAGAAGCATGATAGCACATGGAAGCAGTAGAGTAGCACCTACTAGCACCTATTCATTATACCCCGCTTCCTCATTTTTTGAGACGTAAAGTCTGTCCATTTATTTCATCTTCGGTTTTTTTTCCCCTTAAACATGTTATTTTGCTCAATAAAACCCAGGCCAACTTTGTGTTTGATTTGAAAGAAAAGATAGAAAAACCTCTAAGTGCAACCTGAACAGAACTAATTAGGCTTTTGCAACGTTAACGAGCAACCATTAAGGAAAGATGCAGATTGTAATACGATACAACCATAATGGTTGTAGAAAGGATTGTGGGTTCATGTGTAAACCCCAATATTATATATTATATACCTGAGAATAATCTTGTCTCATCTTCTGCCTACAATCTCCCAAAATGTTGGCTGGATGCATCCTATCAAAGTATCAATAATCATAATAGTGAAAGCAGCAGTAAGCATTGTTAAGTTTTCATTAAGGCTGTATATGTTTGGTTTAAAGGAAAAGTGGGGAAAGGAAGGGGAAAACGTAAGAAACCTTTATAAACCTTGTATGAATTTTTCTAGCTTTCTTTTCCTTTCCCTATATTTTCCTTCAAACCAAACACAGCCTAAGAGTTCATTTGGTTGAGCCATAATGTTGCAATCATTCATATATGGTGGTTGAGCATCTACTTAGAATAGCTTCATTAATTTTAGAACTGAACCCATATTTTTACTCACTTTCTGATGAGGGGTGATTTAGCCCTCCAATCATGAAGTGTCAGGTTGTCACGGGGGTAGTTCTACAGCGGAAGAAATCCGTGCGGCATCCTGGCCAAGGCAGGCCAGGATAAGCCTTTATGCGCTTAGAGGCTACGAGTTGCCCGATGGGATGGCTCCACCAAAGTCAGTAGCACTGGATCAATGACCTCAAGTCCAATGGCCGGGGCACTCTTCTGGCTCAGACCGGTCCATGGGAGGCGCCACTTACATGCTAAAGGGGGACAACCATAATGCAAGGCAACCATGCGCCGAAGAGGTGACTTGGCACCGACGTGAAGGGACTCCTGAATGCCTATGATGACAGGCACCTGTGTGCCATGATGATAGGCAACCGCTTGGGCCGGAACACACCCGTGCGCTAGAGGCAACGGGGTAGCTCACTCAGCTTGGGCAAGGGGTTGGCGTGGTGAAGGACATGCTTGAGCCACGCCCGCATGCCAAGCCTCCCTTGAGTATCGGTAGCGCAGTGCCGGTCCAACACTGTCCCCATGAACAAGTGTGCGCCCATGAGGAACCCTGGTAGCCATGCTGACCGTTAACCAGGGCCGCCCCGCAAGGGGATGAAGGTCTAGGAGTGCCAAGGTTAGGGACCCAAGGAAGTCGACCACCCCCCTCAAAGAATACGTTAAGCTTTTGGTGGTCTGCCTGAAAATGACATCAGTTCTCCCAAAAATCTTACAGGCGAAAATGACGAGCAATGTCCCTAACGTAAGCCTGCCAAGCATAAACAAGGCTAAGCCTGTTTTGAACCATAACAATGTGACAAATTTGAATCGTTTGATTACACCTCAATGCCACAAGAGGGCAGGTCGGGTGGATGTAGGATGACCTAGGCCGACCTACCTGGCCTATATCCCAGCATAAGAGAGGCTAGAAAGTTACTCCATGACAAAGCGACACATATCACCTAAGGAGGACAAGCTAATGGCCTCCAAGGCCGGTACAACCTCCCCGACTCGGGAAAACAAAGACTTGAGTAATAAATGGTCTTCCGGTGTATCAATCTTCCGACTTATGTGGCAGAACGTCCCTATCTGGAGTAGCATGCTTATCAGTTTAGAGTTGGATGACAGCATATCACCTGCTTGCACGATTTAAACAGTCCAGATGTGGATCACCGCCAATGTAGGATGGACGTATCGAAACAGGGGTTCCGACACTTATACAAGGACCTCACTATTCCTTCAGAAGGTACGCGCAGTCTGTGCAATTGACTCTCTTTCTCTCTCTCTATTCCCTCAAACTCTCTACTCTCAACACTCTCATGGCTAAGTTAAGCATCGGGGTTCATCACTCCGGGTACTCTGATATTCTGTCCTTTTATAGTTCATCAGTGGATCGACCTCATCAGCCCGTCCTTCTGAATTGTTATCTAGCAAGGAGATCAACAAATTTGAGCGACATCACTTTCTCTACCCACAATAGACTACGGCTGCACATCCCACAATACAATATGTTGATGTGTGATTGCAATTCAATGCAGGTAAAGTGTGGATAGAGGGTTGTGAGCAAGGAAAATCCAGATTGGACGTGTTTTTCTCACATCTGAAATGCGAAAACAACTTCTAGTGTTCCCCGTGAGAGGTCCAACTGGAAATGCCAGAAGCCAGCTGCATCCCAGAATCGACTCTGGGTCGCTTGTCCACCAAAAATCTGCCTACGCCTACCCACAATATATTAGTTCCCATGAAATAATACATTTTCCCTATATAATACTATGTAGATAATGAGATATTCTCCATGTATAACTGCGATAAACGTGAACAGAATTCTCGTGAACAGCAGATCCGAACTCCTCATAATCCCTCGCAAAGGGGGCACTAATTGGAACGCCACCAGCACCACCCTTTTATTAATCGCTGTTGAGAACTTTGTGCACACCAAGAGAATGTTGCTTGACCTCTAAGTCTGATCTGGAACATGCATGCCAGCTATAAGTGATGGGGCTACAGAGTCTAGTAGACACCACCATTGAGTCATGAGTCATGACCATGCATGTGTTGCAACACCTCATCCATCAGCAGCCTACCTCTTATTTGCTTGCCACGTCTTAGCAAATTCAGGAGAGGCTTAGCACATGATTTGAGCGTATATATAAGGGTAAGTTATACATAGGTACTTGTATTTTGGGGTAGCGATACAAATTTTGAATTGTAATATTTGAGTATCCTGAATTAAAAAAAAAAATAGATATTTGGGTTATTCATTAGTACGTCAATTAAGCATTACTTAATGTCAAAAATACCCTCTTCGTGTATTTTTTAAATAATTTTATAGAATAAAATTATCATTAGAGATTGCCGTTAGAAAATTTGAATATGTTATTTGCAATCTATGTGAAAATGTCATTATGGGGAGACATTCAATTACTTGAGAATGATCTCAGAAATACATAAAAAGGGTATTTTTTATACTATATACTGTTTAATTTAACTGCCGGAACAGTGATGAATGGACCTAAGTGTCTATTTTTGAGAGTTAAGGGTATTCAAACATTACAATTGAAAGTTAAAAATACCAATACGCCACTTTCCAAAATATAGCTGGTACCTATCTATAATTTACCCCAAGGATTAATTAATGAGGTAGGGACATCAAGTGTATGATGCCAATTAATGGTGGTTCAGTTGCTAGGATGTCTGATCATGCATGATACAGAACTACAGGTATATTGATGTGGTTGTGAGGAGTTCGACTTCAATCAGGGCAAAGCCAATTCGAGCATCCTTTACTATCTTGCATTGAGAATATCTCCATGCTTGTATGCTTTATTTTAAGAGGAAATATTCCCAATGCAAGGGTGAAAATGACTGTTAGGGAACGGTATAGGCACAGCTTTACCCTAATAGAAGCCGATCTCAGTTGTGAGTTATTTTCCTAAATATATGCAAATCTTTAATTAAAAACAGTTGTATTGGAAAAGAGTTGGGGTCAGACCGAGGTGACTAACTCCTCACGAGGCTTAATAAAGGACAAGTGTCTCTCCTCCTGTATCCTTTCCTAACGTAGAAACATCAAAACAGTAGTGAGAGAGAGAGGGAATAATATGATATAATTCACGCCTTTTGATACGAGTTAAGGAAATTTGCCCCACTTCGAGCATGAGGGAAGCTCCATAAAGAGGGAACAGAGGTAAGAAAAGAGAATGTTGTTCTATCTCCCTATCATTTCCATTGTAATGATATTTATAGTGATGCTTAACAGAAAGACAATTACGCCAGAGAGGCACGATGCATAACTAACTAAAGCTGCCTTGAGCTGTTTTTATTCCCTAAATCGAATGGGCTTGGCAATATTCCTTCAAGGTCGTGGTATCCCCTATTGTGGCAGAGCATGATTACCAGACCATTGCAGCATGTATGTGGGGTCTTGGGTACCAACGGAGCTCCTCCTATCATTGCCTTGTCCTACAAGACGGACCTTGTCCTCAAGGTCAAAGTCAAGGAATTGTTGGACTATGTGAGTCAACGGTTCCCATGTAGCATCTTCGATGGGAAGGTTGATCCACTTAATCAGTAGTTGGGTCTGCCAGCGATGGTTCACCTTGATATTCCGAGAGTCCAGAACCCGTTCAGGTACATAGAGTGGATGGGTGTCATCAGTGGTGAGCGGGAGAGGGAATATGGCTGGTAAGGAAGGGTTGGGGCATAGCTTCAAAACGGAGATGTGGAAGACTGGGTGTGTCTTTGCAGTGGGAGGGAGTTAGAGGCGGTAGGCGACAGGGCCAATTCTCTCCATGATTTTGAAAGGTCCAAAATAGCGTTTTGAGAGCTTGTGTGAGGGGCGAGATACAATGGATGATTGTCGGTAGGGTTGAAGCTTAACATAGACCCAGGAATTAACTAAAAATTCTTTATCCCGTCGATGCTTATCCAATTGGTTCTTCATGCGAAGTTGGGCACGGGCAAGGTGATGCTTGAGCAGTGAAAGAAGTTGGGCATGTGGAATTACTGATGTAATCAACCAATGAGTGGAGGTATTATACCAATATTCTGCCCAAGGGAGTAGTTGTACCCAAGATTTAGGTTGATCTCCCACAAAGCACCTCAAATAAGTTTCTAAGGTTCTGTTGAGAACCTCTGTTTGGTCGTCTGTTTGGGGATGGTAGGCACTGCCAAATTTCAGATGCGTGCCTGGAAGTTTGAAGAGTTCCCTCCATAAAGTACTTAGGAAGAGCTTGTCTCTATCGCTGGCGATAAACATAGGAAAACCATCCAAACGAACCACCACTTGAACGAAATGTCCTGCTAACTTCGAGGTCGTGATTGTAGCGGGAAGGGCACATAAGTGGGCATACTTGGAGGGTCGATCAGCAACTACCCATATCATGTTCTTTCCTTGAGCAGGAGGCAAGCCTAGGATGAAATCCATTGAAATGTCATCCCAGACTTGTTAAGGAATCGGAAGCGATTGTGAGAGACCCTTGGGTGTTACTGGTTCATACTTATTCTGGAGATAGATATTGCAAGCTGCAATATATCTCTTGGTGTCCTTGGCCATGGACGGCTAGTAAAAAGAAGAGGATAGACAACTCAATGTTTTGGCATAAATAGAAAGTCCTCTTTGAAGTGAGGAGTGGAATTCCCGTAGGAGGCGTAAGCGTAGGTCAGCTGTAGCAGGGACAAAATGTTTTCCTTTGTATAGTAGCAAGTCATCCCGTATAATATAATCTGAGTAACCCTCACGATGGTCATGGAGCTCCTGTAGTAGTTGTTGGGCCTTAGGATTTGTGGTTATGGCTTGGCATAGATCATAAAAAAAATCCACTTGCTGCTGTTAAAATGCCATGAACAGTGAGAGAGCTAGTTTGGACCACCGGGAAAGCGCATCAGCTGCTGTGTTGGACGAACTAGGTTTGTATTGGATTGTAAATTCGAAACCCAATAGCTTAGTCAACCACTTTTGCTACTCTAGTGTTTGTATTGTTTGGTGAAGAAGCTCTCGAAGGCTATGATGATCTTTGATAATGGTGAACTTCCTTCCATGTAAATATTATCGCCACTTGTGTACTGCTGCGTATTAGCGCACATTTCTCAGGCATAAGTGGAGGCAGATTGGAGTCGAGGGCCTAGTCGCTCACTGTAGAAAGCGATGGGATGATGGGCCTGGGAGAGGACTGCTCCAATGGCCACTATGGATGTGTCTGTCTCAACTGTGAAAGGAATGGTGAAGTCCGGAAGTGCTAGTACCGGGATTGCTGCCATAGCAGTTTTGAGAGCAAGGAATGCCTCCGTTGCTACAGGGTGCCAATGGAATTGATTGTGTTTTAAGAGGTCAGTCAAAGGAGCAATGATGGAAGCATAGCCATGAACAAACTTGTGGTAATATCCGGTGAGTCCCAAGAATCCACGAAGAGTTGTGACAGACGAAGGTTGTGGCCATGAAAGCATGGCGTGAATTTTCCGGGGGTCAGCTTTAACACCATTAGTTGAGAGAAAGTGCCCAAAATATTCAATTTCAGGATGGCCAAAAGAGCACTTAGAGAACTTTGCGTAAAATTGATGCTGGTGAAGAAGAGAGAATACTGAGCGCAAATTGTTGGAGGTGATCAACCCATGACGTATAAACGAGGATATCATCAAAGAAAACCAAAACAAATCTCCATAAAAATGGTCTGAATAGAGAATTCATCGTAGCCTGAAAGGTAGAGGGGGTGTTGGACAACTCGAATGGCATTACGAGAAACTCGTAATGTCCCGTGTGTGCGAATGTAGTTTTGTGAATGTCTGGGTCATGAACATGAATTTGAAAATAATCGGAGCGTAGGTCGATCTTGGAGAAATATTTTGCACCATGGAGCTCGTCCAAGAGTTCATCGACGGTTGGAATGGGAAAGCGATCCTTGACGGTCACTGCATTGAGTGCATGGTAGTTGACACAAAAACGCCATGATCCATCTTTCTTTTTGACGAGGAACACTGGGGAAGAGAAGGCGTTGGTGCTGTGACGAATAATTTCTGCCTATAACATGTCATGGATCTGTCGCTCTATCTCGTCCTTCTGGAAGTGGGGGTATCTGTAGGGTCTCACATTAATGGTGGTGGTGTTTGGTTGCAAGGTAATGTGATGTTCAATGGGGTGGGGGGGGGGGGGGGGGAAGATAGGTGATTGGGGGTGGAAAAAATGGTTGCAAATTGCTGGAGTAGGTGGAGAATGTCCAGGGCAACGGTGGACGAACAGTTGAAAGGGGAAGAGTCACAGTCAGGGGAAGGATGGGATGGTTGGGCTTCAATGTGGAAGAAGGCAATTGTGGCTTGGTTCGGAAGGAGGCATCAAAGCTAGTTATGGGTAATTGGGATTGGTTGTGTAGGTGATGGAATTCCATGAAGGGCAACAGGTTCACCATTGAGGCTAAAGGACATTGTCAACACCTTATGGTTAGTGGTGATCGGTCCCAACTATTCGAGCCATTGAACACCAAGGACGGCATCAGTGCCGGAGATGGGGAGGAGGTGAAAATCAACGGGAAAGTGGAGTACCTTGGATGAACAAGGTGACGGTGGGGCAAGTTCCTATGCATTGTAGTTGGTCGCCATTGCCGACGGTCACTGATGAGAAGGTGGAGAAATGAAGCGATGCGGGGGTGTAGGAAATTGTGTGTGCTCCCAGAGTCGACAAGGACGGAAATGGGATGGGAAAAAATGAATGTGAGTAAGCGGAGAGTACGGGGGGAATCGTTGCCGTGGAGTGAGATTTCAGGGGATGGTTGGCAGTCGATGTCGGGGTAGGTGAAATTGGTGAATTAAGGTCGAGAAATTCATAATCCTCATCAAGAAGGAGGAGTTGTGGAGTTTTGCACCGATGTCTGGGACAAAATATTTCATCACAGTTGAAGCATAATCCTTGGGCCCATCGTGTTTGTTGCTCAGCAGGGGTTAGGTGACGAATGTTGGGTGGTAAGTTCGGAGGAGGAGGTGGAAGGCTCAACAAGGGTGGTTTGGTGGAGGGGGGTAGTGGCGAGGAAGGGAGTCTCGGGTTGGTGCTCGGAGATGGAAGGAGAGTGATAGAGGGAGGGGGAGGGAAAGATGGTTGAGGGCGACGTTTGGGTGTGGTGTGAATAAGAGGGGTAGAGGATAGTTTATCCTCTCTCAATTTTGCAAAAGAGAGAGCAGAAGAGATAGTGGTGGGTTTGACAACGGCTAGCTCTCGTTGTATTTCGGATTTAAGTCCAGAGATGAAGCAGTTAAGGATTGTTTGAGGGGATAGGTCGTCGATGCGGTTGCAAATGGTCTCGAAGCAGGACTGGTAATCGGTGACTGAGGAGGTTTGGGTTAGCTTGAAAAGGGCGGCCTCGTGGTTAACAAAGGAGGAAGGCCCGAAGCGTTCTTCAATTGTGGTGGTTAGATTGGCCCAAGTGGATAGCTGCTGGTTGTGATGCATCAACTGAAACCAGCTAAGAGCTTGACGGGTCATGAAGAATGTGGCAATGTCAATTCGTTGTTCGTTTGGGGTACGATGGAAGTTAAAATAGCGTTTAGCCTGAAAAATCCAGTTCTGGGGGGTGGAACCGTCAAAGTGTGAGATCTCACAGCGGAGGGGACAAACAGAGATAGAAAGGTTGGTGGCAGAAGATGAGGAAGTTGTTTGAGGCATGAGGATGACAAGGGGCTTGTCAGGGCGAGGAAGACGATGGACCAATTCATTGAGGGTGGATTGAATGTTGTCGAGCTTGGTCTGGTGGTCTGTGCGAGACGAATGGAGTTCTTCGATGGCATCCTCTAAGGCTTTGTATCCGGTTTGGACACTAGCGGCGACTTGGTCGGCCATGGAGGCAGAGCGCGGAACGAAAGCACCAGTGATACGAGTTAAGGAAATTTGCCCCACTTCGAGCGTGAGGGAAGCTCCATAAAGAGGAAACAGAGGTAAGAAAAGAGAATTTTGTTCTATCTCCCTATCATTTCCATTGTAATGATATTTATAGTGATGCTTAACAGAAAGGCGGTTACGCCAAAGAGGCATGATGCGTAACTAACTAAAGCTGCCTTGAGCTTTTTCTATTCCCTGAACCGAATGGGCTTGGCAATATACCTTCGGGGTCGTGGTATCCCCTGTTGTGGCAGAGCATGATTACCAGACCGTTGCAGCATGTGTCGGAGTCTCGGGTACCAGTGGAGCTCCTCCTATCACTTTTCTATTGTCCTTGTCTTTGAACTAGTTATCTTTCCAAATGGGCCAGCCATGGAGTGGAAACTAGAAAGAGTGAAGGTTGAGATGTATTTTAAGATTAGAAGTAGTCCAAATGGGATTAGGAGGTTAATTATGCAAGTTGGATGAGGACGAGGCTACCTAAGATGGTGTTTGGAAGTGTGGGTGTTTTTTGGGACCGATTCTCAAGAAAAAACTCCCATGCTTCTAAAACCCATTTTTCACAAAAAAAGAAAAAAACGTTTTGATTTTGTTTAGAAGTGTTTTTGTTACATAGGCAGTGAACAACACTATGCTCTTTGATAAGGTGATTTTCATCACTGTTTTTCATGTATGTACTGACAGGTAAGCACCACATAAGATACACGTAATCGCCAATCAGTCAACCGTTGGGGGCAATGATTCACTGATGCATGAAACGCCAAATTTAACGTTTCATGCATTGGTGGGGTCCCGATTTACGAGACATGCCTATGGTTCAAGCATTTTTTCAAAAAATGCATTAACCAAACAGTCATATATATGGGCGTTTGTTGAAACGCCTATATAATTCCAACATGACACCATTTTTCAAAAAAACGGCCCTGATTCCAAACATCCCCTAAAGCCTCACCCTTAACTTGACCCAAAATTACAACCCTACTTAATATGCACACCAGTAAGACAACGAGTACCAATAACCAAGATGATCAGTTGCTAACCACTATTCTTATCTCGTTAGAATTTAGAAATAAGGACGATCATCTTACCTTGTTCCTGTAAACAGAAGAGTTTTTTTTTTTTCTTCTTGAAAATTAAGTCCATGTAAAGAGCGAATGCAGACTTGCTGTAGACCCAAAGTTAATCCCTACTTAATCCGCTCCAAATTAATTTGAGAAAAACCCGAAGTCAAAATTTTACAGTGGTTTGTAATGGATGCATAGGGCCCGTAGCCCATCATAAATCACCATTGGGGGTGCGGGGACACAGCCCCCGCGGCGGTATGGACCCAACTCATATTCATCTAATAGGTCCGAACCGAATACGAAGAGTCATGTATTTTGGGGGTTTTCTCTCTTGTATATTGAAGACAGAGTCTTGTGAGTAGACTTGTTCATGGGCCGGGCCGGCCCCCGCACGGGCTTGAACGTGGTTATAGGCCCGCAGGCTTAAATTCATGCCAAAAAGCCTGGCCCGCAATAAATTCGAGCCGGGCTCGGGTTTTGTCAAAATAGCCTGCCTCGAGCCCGGCCCGACCCGACCTAATATTAGACTTAAAGTGAGTAATGTGATTATGTCCATTTGAATAAATGTTTTGATTTAAAAATATAAAACTGTGTTTTAAAATATAAAAGAAAGGGGAAATAAAACATCTTATAGGCCCATTGTTCATTTAAATAGGAAAAAAAATATCTGAATTTTTAATTCTAATTTGAATAGGGATAATTGTTTTTTTTTATTAGGTCGGGCTTCGGGCTTTTTATTATGGCCGGGCCCGGGCCCAAATTATAGACCCGTTGGTTGGGCCGGGCTCAGGCTCGGGCCTACCATATTTCCCTTAATGACAAGTGAAAGCCCGGCCCGGCACGGCCCATGAACAGTTCTACTTGTGAGAGAGGAGTGAGACATTGGGTGTATTTGGAGCTTAGGGTTTTCTATGAGAGCACAACTCTTTATTTCTTTTCCATTACCTACTTCATAGTAGATTTTTGTTCCTCCTTCGCCCGTGGACGTAGGCTATAAGCCGAACCATGTAAATGTATGTATTCTCTATGCTTGTTTTTTCTTTATCTCTGTTTTGTTTTTGGTTGAGTGCCATTTCGAATCTATTTTCTTGGGGTTTTTTTGCAACAAATACCTAAAGCAGCTTATTTAAACTGAAATCTGCTCATTGTGCGCCTAAGAAGAAAGATAAGCTGCAAGCATATGAACGTCATCTTATACGTATTCAAAGAAATTAAAATTCGCAAACAGCAGAAAAAACAATAAAAGAAAGAGGGAATTGATTTACGTCGAAAAGCTTTGTAATTTGGCAATTAGTAGCACTTATTTTCAAAGGAAGGTTGAAGAAGACATACTTTAAGAGCTTAACTTAAGAGTGCAGGTTATATTTTCAAAAAGCTAACTGGTTGGATGGAGGAATTAGGATCACCTGCCAACAAAATACTTTTCGACACCTTACCATCTCATACATGATAGGTTCCACTTTTATGGTGGGTCTCAATCTTATAGTGAGATATGTGGTGTTGGACCATGTTGGTAAGGAGTTAGAATGCATTTTGTTGACAGGTGATCCAACTCTGGATGGAATGTAGGGAATTAGATAGATTTTTCGTTTCGCTCATTGTAGGAGTCAGAGATGAAGCCAATAAGCAGAAACAGTAGTGAGTACTCAGGGCTAATGCCAAAGCCAGTAATAACTCGTCTAATTAAGCTAAAATCTGTTTTTGGTTGG